TCATGTGATGTGATGTCTCCTTGATTAATCACCATAAGGATCACATAATGAAGTTTTTAAACCCAATTCCCCAATCTGTTAAGTGGGATTGGATGATTGCCTCATTTGCAAGTGATTTGTAATCTCACTGATGGACCAGTGGCTCTTGAAACTCAGATTACTTTGCATGATCTCTCAAGTTTTCGTTAACAGAAAGAGGTTTACTCTCAGATCTTGAAATTAGACGTCCATTAAAGTAAATTTTTACTTGTTTTCCCTGAAGACTACGGATGCGACAACACAAAGTGTGTTTTGGTTACTGGAATAATCTATGTATCAATGCAGCAAGTGTTGAATACATGCATATTTAACGGACTTTTATTAGAGAACATTGTGCTAGTGATAGTGCGTCTGTCCGCATTGGTCAAGTATTTGATTATTAAAACTGAGTGCAGTACTTTGTTGCAGCTCCTTAATTGATGACTACGGTGAATGCTCTATACCACTACCACAACAAAAAAGTCAGTATTTAGTTTTCAAATTTCAGCTAGCATTTTGTTATGCAATTGTTCCATTGTGTGGGCTAGTAGTGTCAAAGACCATTAGACATTGTAATGAGACTGCCAATTCGTTTAATGTTTTTCTTCGTTCTGCTTAGTGTGTTTTGAAACTCATTGATTAGTAAACTTGCATGGTTTTAGCCTTTTGCATTGCTTTCATAATATTTGTGTTCAGAAACCAATCTATTATTTATTGTATGTTTTTTTTTGGTTGAACCTGCATAAGGTTTTATTAGTTTAACTACTTTGCCCTCATCCACTCTCGCAGCATTCTTATCCTTGAGCCACTTTACCAGCTTTTTCCACGAAGCAGAACATAGCGCATATTACTTTTAATCTACAAACATCCTAACTTCAGATATTCGTTTGGCCTTTTAGGGCCTCCATAGCCTGTACTTCAAAGAAAACTGATGGGATTAGAATTCTTCTGAACTGGAAAAAAGGAAAGATTAGCTTCATTGTGAAAAGTAAGGCTGGCTGGGACTAGTCGTATTTTTGTTTTAAAAGGGGGAAATGTTTAGTTGACTGGCCCATGCACATAACTGCGATGACGCTGGATTCAGATTGATTAGGGTATAGGCTTTACTAATCCAATGATTTAAAGACAAGCGTACTCGCTTGTAATAGGACATGCTACTGACATTTGCTGGAGGCTCCCAGGGCTTGAAGTATTTTGGTGATTTTCATATTAAAAACCTGTAATTAATATCATTTGCGTGTGCAGTTTTGTGCATTGAGTGTCCCAATTACGTTTAATCCAGAAACTATAGTACTATATTAATGCTGACTGACGAACTTGTTTGTTTTACTTTGTACACTTGGATTGGTGCTTTGGTTGTTACTATAATGTTGAGCATTCTACAAATATATTCTGCACAGACAGCATGTATATTCATTCAAATCGCAGTGGCAGAGATCAGATAACATGTGCGATTAGGCGACTATATTTTGTTTGTGCCACTCCCTTGACTTGTATTTTTGAAATTTAGTTCGGCTATTGTTCTAAAAACATTCTCTTTGGGTGCCACAGATACACACTGTCTTTACATTTCCTTCTGATCCTGAATTTCTCAAGAATGATATCCGGGTGAAGCCAGACCTTGATGCTCATGGGGCTCTTGGGGATGCAGGGTGGTACTGTATGAGAGCAATATTGTGGGCCAATAACTATGAACTGCCAAAAACTGTAATTGCTTTGCGGGGCCCTGTACTTAATGAAGCAGGCGTGATTTTATCTTGTGGGGCGTCCTTGCATTGGGAAGATGGGAAAGTGGCAACCTTCCACTGCTCTTTCTTATCAAGTTTGACGATGGATATAACTGCTGTTGGTACAAAGGGAACTCTGCATGTTGATGGTTTTGTTATCCCTCATGAAGAGAAAGAAGCCGCTTTTTCTGCAGCTTCAGAAAGTGGATTTGATGAATTTGTCACCTGTTGGGTTCCACCACCAAGTCGTCACATTGTGACCACAGATCTTCCGCAGGAGGTCCTCATGGTAAGAGAGTTTGCTCGTTTGGTAGGCGCTATTAAAAATGGTGCAAAACCTGAGAAGAAGTGGCCAGCCCGTAGTAGGAAGACACAGATCATACTCGATGCTGTCAAGGCATCAATTGCCAAGGGTTTTGAATCCATTGATATCGCATATTAACCGAGACTCATCTGGTATGTGTTTTTCATCTTATCTTTTTGGTCGGGCGTTCTTGTAGTAGTAATAAGATCCTCATCGGCTCAAAGCCTCATGAACTCGTCGGATTGGAACATTAATGTTGAAATGTGTGGTAAATGAATCAAATGTAAAATAAAATGGCCGTGGCGCAGATTGTGAGTGAAGGCCAAACAGAAACACAGCATGCATGATCACCTTTACATATGTAGTTAGCAAAGTCCGGTACCTTGATAATTGGCACTCCTTGAAATCTAGTCAGAGCGTGTGTTTTTGTGATTCAATTACAAAGGCCTACTTAAGACGGACTGCGATAATTTTTAAGAACAAGTCTAAGAGAAAATTGGAGTAATAGTCTTCGAACTTTGGCCCGGTTGGATTCTTGAACTAAAAAGGGTTTTTTGGCTAATTACGTAAGAATTTCTATCTATTTTTTGCCTCCTTAAACCCTTTAATTTTAGATGGAAGTTCATTAGTCAAAAGGGTCATTACTCCACATTATAACAACTACAGGGATCATCACTTAGAGATTTTAAAACTCAGCTTCTTATCTAACACTCGTTGTATATATATGTTTTAAATTAAGAAAGTTTTTTTTTTTTTCCTTTCTTTTTTTCTTTTTTTCTAGAAACAATAGCATCTTCCTAGCTAGGAAGGGGTTCACAACATTTGAGGCCTAAACTAAATCAAACCTACTTGCATGTCAAGTCTGCCAACTAGGTGGTACGTCGAATTGCCATTTTGTAATTTGACTTTAATCTAAGAAGCTTGATTCAAAATGCGTTTACATTACAATAGCAGGCCACATCCGACCTTAAAGGACAAAGCAACGCGTCCTTTGGGCCTATGATATCCCCACTCCTGCCAATGTGCCTTTCCTATCTCAAGAGCCAGAGGTCGACTCTTCGAAGTCGTGTCGTGCACTCTGGCGCATCAACTTGCTAGAGGCCTACCATTAGGTAGTGTAGATACCAGCGGGGTGTGGTATGCACCACACTAGCAAAACGTAGAGGCCTGCGAGCTCACTGTCCAGTTGCCTGCGACAATCTCTCCTATAAATAGCTAGGTCAAACGAAGAAATAGGTAATTTTTACTTACTAATCAGAATTCTCTATGGTAATATAGTTTCTTCCAACTATTTCTTGCTTGGGCATCGAAGACCATTTGTCGGACACCCTTCCCTCTTTTCTCAAGTGTTCATCAATTAGGCTAATAATGCTTCGTATTCTGTATGTGTGATTTTGTCAATCAAACCATACGAACTTTGCATCCACAGTACTCTGATTGAGATGGATAAAAAAACTGTGTGAGCAAGAAGATTAGGTACCATATAACAACAATGCTTTTGAGAAGATTAATATACTTATTCCTCATAAGGCAGGGAAAGGATATTCTTCGGATCCCTTACATCCAGATCCTCTGGATCTTGAAAATTGGCTGCAAGCCTTGCCTCCGGCATAATCATGAAGCCATCACAGCTTCTTCTTCCTCCTCGAACAGGTCTACGAAGCCATGATCGCAACCTTGCCTCGAACAGGACCGCGAAGCCATTGATCTCGACGCATTGTTGTCTCCTCCACCTCCGCCCCCTCTAAACCCCTCCTGCCGTCAACACATTGTTGAGGCCTCGATGCAGAATATACGATGGCCGCTGCTGCCATTGCAGCTTCCTATTCCGATGGCATCAAACATTTTTCCGTTCATTTTTTTTTTTAATTTTGTGAATGGCTAAGATTAAAGAAATTTTCTTTTGAATGGCCAAAATTGAAGAATGTTCCGGATTTGGATGGAAGGAATCCGGAGAAGATCTTCCATGATATTTATGTACAAAACTGAGTGTTTTCAACAATTACATGCCTACTTACTAGTATTTACTATAAGGTCGTCAATCACATACTAAAATACATGAGGTCTGCTCTAACCTAGTGCTTATGTTTCTAAGTCCAAGACATGGCCATTTAAATGTCATTGGATACATTGCTGTAGATTGGGTACGTAGACTCAATCATTGATAGACGTTCTACTTCAGGTTATTTCACATTTGTTTATGCAATTTGTACCTAGTGAAACAAGAAACATAATATTGTAGTAAGACCAAGTGTTAAGTCTAAGTTACAGGGTATGTCACATAGTATTTATGATTATTGTGGATTTGTAATTTGTTATCAGAGTTGGATTTTAGACTTGGAAGCCCCATGAAATTTCATTATGATAATAAAGTCGTGATAGTTGTTGTACACACTTCAGTTCAATGTGATCAGAATAAACATGTTGAAGTTGATATTTGATAGATATTTCATCAAGGACAAATTAGAAGCTGGATTAATTTTTTTGTTTTTTTGTCATTCGTGAAGTTGTAAGATCAACTTGCATATGTTCTTAAAAACGATCCAATTGAGTATATCATAACTCACTAGACAAATTGAACATTATATTCTATTGACAAAATTAAGGGAGAAGATTAGCGTGAGCCCGCACTATTGGGTCCAAATTACTTATTTATCTATTGTATCTGAAGTTTAGATCCCAATCCGTTCTTCACAGACAAAATTATCTCAAAAAAGGTAAAACCTTACTTGTCCCAATTTTTTTGATCCATAACCCAACAAAAACTAACAAAATAAAGTAAATAATCATGATTAACACAATAAATTTATTACAGTTTTTAATACCTTTTATTTTTGTTGCTTATCTCTACATGATTTTGGAGGTCAGGGATCACACCCATACACACCTTCTTTGTTTTTTCGTTTGTGTTTGTTTCCCTTTTTTATTATATATATATATATATTTTTTTATAGATCATATTGAATAATTTATAGAACTTATATCAAATTTAACAAGGTGGCATTCCGGGTTGCGGCGGCAGCAACTTTTCCTCCTCCTGCTTTCCGTTCATTACAATGAGAACGGTGTCCATTCCCCAGGTTAGGTGACGCTCCAAATGGCAGTGCATGAACCACACTCCTGCATTTTTTTTTTTTTGGAAAAGAAAGATTGAAAATTAGGAAGAAAAAGTTATCAATCCCATATATTAAACAAATGTTAACTAGCAGTTGGTGAGATTAGGAAGAAAAAGCATGTGGCCGCATATGTCCTGGTTACCTATATTTGTTGTTGACATGTTAGACATAAAAGTTTATCACAAATGAAGGAGCGTGTGAGAATGTCAAAAAATATCACATATAAAAATTGCCACCCATTAAATTACCGTATAGTTATGCCCAAATTTGGTACGTTAGCGTTAGTCTCTGAGAATTAATTTTATTAAAATTAATCATTTAATGACTGACTTTAAGAATACTTACCCGGATTGTCGGCTTTGAATCTGATGGCAGTCCAACCACTTATGGGCACCGTGGCAGTGTTCCTCAGAGGAGGATCAACGAGATTGTAGTTTAATGGGTCCTGATTTTCGTCGAAGTTCCCAGGCCCTCGTCCTACTATAAAGAAGCTATACCCGTGCAAATGCATTGGATGATCTATCGGTGCAGTCACAATCGTCCCTTGAAAAACAATTTCCACATTTGCTCCGTATTTAATAACTTTCACCTTTGTCTCTCTACTGGGTATCTGTACTAGAAATGGTAGGGTTTCACCGGTAAAATTAAACACCGGTGGTGGAGAATTTGGGAACCCCTTTTTGTAGACCCCATGAATGTGATAGTAGTAGGCTTCTAGGATGTCTACTGTTCTGGGGGTTACAAAGCTTATATTGTTCATGCTAGCGGATAGGCGGGTGCCATTTGGTCCTGCACATGAATTGTTGGGGCATGGCAATGTGTTGACTGAAATTGTGGTGAGTATTCTTCTGGTGATGTTTAATGGGACATCAATTGGGTGGTCTTTATTAGCAAGGCTTCTAAGGCTATCAAAGAAATTGAAGGCCGAATTTGTGTCGTTGTAGTACGGAAGGTAAGGGAATACTGGAGTTGAAAACGGAGCCGAGTTACCATTATATCGTAATATTGCTGTGGTTGTGGTGTTGTCAAAGGTAATAACAGTACTGCTTGAGTAAGCCCTAGCAGCCATGTAATATTGACCGACTTGTTGGTTCGTGAGCAACAAGGCATCCATGGTTTGTCCTGGGGATATTGTGACATAATCTCTTGCCACCGGCTTTGTGTAGCTCCCGTCTACTCCCACCACCGTGAGGTTATGTTGAGCAACTGAGAAGAAGAGAATGCTATTCATTGCCGCGTTTACAATTCTGAGCAAATAGGTCTTGTTTTGATCAACAACGAGTGTGAATGTATCTGCAAAATTAAAGAAGTGGATTGAAGAAATTTGAAAAAGTCTAAATTACTCTAAGTAGCCTTTAATTAATAGTTGTTCACATCCACAAAGTGAAAGTAGGTCACGTACAAGACTTGACTCAAAATAGCATGCTGCGGAGAGATGCAAAATAGTTGTCTATACCTGGACTTGAGCAAGGATAGAGGTCTCCGGGCTGTCCATTTATGGTGTGAGCATCGGAAACATTGGGATCTCCTCCGTTTCTAACGAATTCTTCAAATACCGCCATTACATCACTCTTCCACCACTGGCCTGCGTTTTCAACAAGTTTAAGCTGTTTGTTCAAGAGACTCCATTATGAAGTATACATATGCCTATATTTATACTATTTACTCAGTAAATTTAGGATTACTTGTGCTCAAATTTATTTCTTTTTCCACATATATAAGCCGGTGAGTTTAGTGTTATTGTCCTTCTCTTTGGTGGTCGGGAATTGATATATTTGTAGCTCATCGTTTAATCGATGGCTCTGATACCATGTAAACTATGAGTTGGAGAGGCCAAAATGTATTACACAGCCCAATCGACTGGGGTTCCGTTATATAATTATTTGCCGTAATTTAGTTTGCTTAAGAAAAGCACCTAATATTATTGGCACTTCTTCGTGATCAGGTTTAGGAAATGGATAGCTAGCTCCTCGTTTTGGATAGACAATGATTGCTCCATGAACTGTGGCTCTTGACCAGTCACTGTGTGCATGCCACCAGATGGTTCCCTCCTCATCTGAAAATATAATCTTTTGTGTGAAATTATCCCCAGATTGAATTGGACATTGCGTGATGTATTCGGGACCATCTGACCATGGATTCCTTGGTTGCCTTACTCCATGCCTGTGAGCAAACATTGCATTATATTTTACAACTTCTTGCTCCAATTTGTTTACTGAGCCATTTAGAGGCTTAATTTAGACTAATTAATTAGTTAAATTACATAGGAAGTCACATATTGCATGTTAATTATATATTACCAGTGAATTGTGATGTTGTGCCTGCCTTCGTTGTGGACATTAACATAAACTGTATCACCCTTGTGAGCTCGTAAAACTGGTCCAGGAAATTTTCCATTTACTGTTAATATTTTCTTAGAGCTACACAGCCTTGTATACGTAGCTTCTTTCACCTGCAAATCCAAAATATACTGAGTAACTTGAAGAACAACTTAAAAAAATAATAAAAATAAAAGATAGGCATGCACGAATGCACTTGAAGTTGAAGACAGCATGTACATACCACCCAATGATACTGGTTCGATGCAGTACAATCAAATAAGAAGTATATTAGTAGTAATGATAAAATTTGCACGAAGCCAGCATGATCTCTCTTTCCAGACCACATAATTTTTATTCTGCTTTTGCTTCTACTTAAACACATCTGAAAGCATTCACTTGTTCAATTTATAGAAGTTTTAGTTCATCAAGTTAAAGGACAAATGCCTTTTCCATTTTTTATAATTATCTCAATGATAGTGAAGTTATAGATGAAGATGAAAATTTATACAAGGATTGGTCACCTACAAAAGTTTACGTATATTGACGGGATAATACTTTAGTACTCACTAGTGAGTATCATATATATTCACTTTCTGATTTGGCTCAATCAAAATATGACATATGTTTCTTATTTTTAAAAGTCCAAGAAAGATTAAATAACATATGCACTATTTTTTTTAAAAGCAACAGAAGTTATATAACATGCCTTATAACATCATTGGACCAAATCTAAAATGTGAGTATATAAAGTACTCACTAGTGAGTATCTAAATATTATTCTATTTGACGCTATCTTTACTCTTTTTTGTAGTTTTTCATGCAACTAAGTTGTGGAACTGGAACATTTCAAATTTTTAGTCAATACAGCTCACTATACAGCTATTTGGACCACTGTCCCTTTTTCGTAAATGTGGTAACATTCTTCTTTAAATATATATCATTGTATCAAAAAATTTGTGATAAAATTAATAGATCTTTTCTTAATTGTGAAAATAATTATTATATATACTTATATAGTCTTTGAATAAAAAACTTATAATAACTTTCTACATATCAGAAGAATTTGGAAAGTGCAATGTATTACGATTAAATCATAGGTACACACATTGTAGAAACCAATGGGAATTATTGGTTGGTGAATTTAGTCAGTGCACCAATCTAATAGATATCTAGGACGATTTTGTCTATATTTGAAATTGGAATGGCTCAAATAAGTTTTAAAGAACATCTTATGCAAAATTTTGGGAGCTGAACATATATATTAACAAGTTCTAGGCCATCAAATTAGCCTTAATTTGTTGTGTTCAAGTTGTAGTCTATCTATGTAAGATCCTACATTGCTCAGGGGTGAAGATCCTGTAAGCCTTATATGTATATTCCCATCTCTACCTAGCACGAGGCTTTTTGGGAACTCACTGACTTCAGGTTCCATAAGAACTCCAAAGTTAAACGAGTTCGGGTGAGAGCATTCCTAGGATGGGTGACCCACCGAGAAGTTCTCGTCTGAGTTCCCAGAAACAAAACCGTGAGAGTGTGGTAGGAGCCCAAAGTAGACAATATTATGCTACGGTGGAGTCAACCTTGAAATGTAGTGGAGTTCGGGCCGGGATGTGACAAGTTAAGTTTCAAAGAATTGTATGCGACCTATGAGTACGTAAATCACTATAAATGGCCACAATACAATTTAAGCATCATGTCTCAGTTTAGTCTTTATTTTCAGCCAAGGTATTAACTTTAAGATTAGAATCGTATTTTGCTCTGAAAGTTGGAGTTTGTCTAAACAAGTGGATGACCGCGATATGATTGACTACCAATAATTTTAATTAAGGTGTCATAGCTCAAAATCTTAGACAAAATCTTATTAACTTGAATATTTTGATTGAAGGAAAAAATGTTAAATTTTAGTATTAATTAAAAATTTACTAACCATTATTAATAAATTTTCCTTAAATTATGCAAAGATTAATATCAAACACGGATTTTTTAATTTTTTACTCAAATTTGAATTGTGTGAAATATGATCAAAATTTTTTATTTTTTAAACATAAAATGTTTTATTTTTTAAATATGGCTACGTTTTAAATTAAGAAAAAGGTTAAATTTTATAATAAATTATGGGTATATTATGTAATGACCCATCCCCAATTATTACGATTTTTATAATTTTTAAATGTGAATTTACTAAAATGCACTTTGAGGCAAAGTGTTGACTTTTGTTGACTACCGTGTCGTGTAACGTAAGGTTCATTTTCTTGGTGTATCCTCGTAATACTCGTCGCTACGAACATGTGGATGCAAATGGATCATGATTTGGAGTTATAACGAAGGAGATAATAACGTTTAAAGCCAGGGGTATTTTAGTAAATTAGTTATTTTCTGGAATGCTCTAGATTTCTGGAGCCAAATTAGGAAGGCCATGTGTGTGGCCCAAATTAAAAGGAAGAAAGTTGGGCGGTGGAGATGGAGGATAAAGGAGAGAAAGGAGGGAGAGATGAGGTGAATCAGAAGAGGAGAGATGTGAGGGTGGACCAATGAGAGAAGAAAGAAAGGCGGAAAAGGAGGGAGGAGAAGAAGGAGGGGAACCAGATCTATTCCCCTTGACCCGTGAATCCGATTGTGATCTGTGAGTTTCTTCGACAAAATTCATCGTTTTTCCGACGAATTGAGCCGAAATACGACTCCTAATCATCATCTCGACCTTTCCTCTACCATTTTTACATCAAATTTGAGGAGATTGGATTTGAATTTGGGAAGAAATGCACCGGTGGGTGCGTCGGCTTCAGGATGGCGAACTGTCAAATCCAAAGGTAACTCTGTCACCTACCACCATCAATAGACTTCCCTTGAGCCTAGAAACAAATCCCAATCATTTTTTGAAGCGTCGGAGTCGATTTAAGGACGAATCAAGAACACCCAAATTCAAGGGTTTCCGACGGGTTTTAGTGAAATTGGGGCTTTTCCCGGCCAAATTGGCATTAGTCATAGGTATGAAAACTTACTGAGATCTTCATTTTTGTGAAGTTTGAGAATTTTTAGAAATAGTTGAATTTTTCGACAAGATGGGGCTGCTGACTGCCACCGGCGGTGGCTTGTGGCCAATGGGCCGCTGATGCTATTTTACACCAAATTGATATCCTGATCTCAAATTTGACATCCATATGCCGTGGATTTGAGTATTGTGAATCTAGTTTGATTAAGGTGCGTTACTTGATTATTATAGCAATTGACGATCCGACCGTTGAATCGTCACCAAACTTTGTTATGTTATAATACGTAATATTTGAGGATATTAAAAACTTACGGATCAGGAATCCGACGTACGGATCTTTCCAATTATGACATATAAAATATATGTTCTATTGATAAGAATTCTAAGACATGATTTGATAATTATTCTAGGCGCCGATCGTTCGTGACGCCTTGATGTTGTGCTAGGGAGTTGTAGCGCGGACTCCAGGTGAGTGGGCTTTTGGTTTTCTATATATACATATGTATACTTTACGTTTTTCCTAGAAGTTGTTTAAGATTGAAATGCCATGTCATACTTGCGTTATATTTTAGTATATGCATTGGTGTAGTCATGTATAATGTTGCATGATACTGCAGAGCCAGGCAAGCTACAGGTGAGTACATTATGATGTTGATGATTGTGATGTACATGGTTATGCTTGGATGCATTTGGTACTCATTATCCTGCACCCCGGTGTTAGTGCTCCACCCAAGGTCAGGGCCAGCCTTCACGTGATTGTTCAACTCCTGCACCGTACGCTCACCTTGGATCCAAGGTAGGTGCCAGCCTATCGTACAAACCACATTAGGTGGTTCAGACTCATAGGTGGCTTGCGATACTTCGCATAGCCTTCATTTGATCGTAGCACTTGAGCGTATTTATTTACACCCAACTTGTCTTACAGACCATATTAGGTGGTTCCGATTTGTGTGCAGGAATTGGTTAATAAGCTATAGGTTCAGCTATATAGGTCACGTTAGGTGACTCTGGATGGCATATCATTTTACATTAATTTATTTCAACTGGCTTACTTATTTCATTACTGAGATACTTAACATGGCATATATTTGGTTTTCACTACTCTTGAGCATGATTTCTATATACGTATGTATTATTATGTTCTGGGAAATTATATGGGTTTTACGGCGAGGGGTTAACGTTTTCAAAAGTTTTTTATTAAAAACTTTATTTTTAGGCCCACTCACCCTTATTTTTGCGCCCCTCCAGGTTTTAGCTGTTAGACGTCCGTATCGATGAGGCTTTGTGGCAAATCTCAGTATAGGTGGCTACCTCTGAGGGTATAATCCTTAACCATACTATTGTACTTTACTTATGCTTTGACGTCGCATGTGAAATGGGCTCGTTCCCGCTCATAGCGCACTCTTGTCTTTAGGTACTTTTAGGTTAACTGGGTTGTTGGTACAACCCCCAATGGTGTGGCATTCAGGAGACCAATTAACGGAGTGATCCTCCAGATATGATACTTTTTCCAATGATCTGCACTGGGAGACGTACAAGTATTAGTATCCTTTTGGTAAACCCACAAGTGATTCAAGCCTCTTACAATCATAGAAAGAGAGATGATCGAGCCTCCGCAAACCTTTGATGAAAACTGGCAGATTAATTAAATTTATTCTTATTTTTCCACATCACCATACATTATGGCTTCGTCACCTTCCAAGTGTCAGCCAGCACAACTCGATTCGGAGTCCTAATGGACATTCCGGGTCAGAGTGTGTCATATTATATATAGATTAAAAAAAGTAAATAGATATTACATTAAAAAAATAGACACAAACTTTATTATAAATATGGGTATATTATAGGTTAAAAAAATTGAATATATAGATATTACATTAGAAAAATAGTTACATTTTACAATAAAAGAAAAGAAATTATAGGTGCAAATAAAAGTTAAAAAAAATATAGGCACAAATAGAAATTAAATATATGGGTACAAATGAAAATTAAAAAGAAAATTGGTGCATGATATATAAAAAAAAATGGAACATTTTTAACAAATAATCATATGAATAGTACACTATAGCTAAATTATTGGTACAAATAAAATAAAAGGAATTATGGGTATACAAATAAAAGAAAAGAAATTATGGGTACAAATAAACTTAAAAAATATGGGCACAAATAGAAATTAAATATACGGGTACAAATGAAAAGTAAAAAAAATTGGTACAAATTAAAAAAAAAAATGATTGCAAACTAAAAAATAGGTAGAAATTAAAAAATAGAAATATATGGTGCAAAATTTAGCCATAAGTATAAATATACCAAATAAACCATTTTTAATTATAAAAATTTAAATATGCCGATGTGCA